CATCAGAGTCCTAAGCACTTTCATCTTGAGTAATCAGCTTTGAGATACAGCCATTCAAATGTTGCATCTTTCAAGATATATTGCTTACAATTTACCATTGTAAATGACAACGACGTGTGGAACAAAAACTTGCTGTTTTGTTCCACACATCGAAGAGTTGTATATGTAAACCTCTTTTTAAAAAATATTTCCACAAACTTTTATTCAGACTCATAGGAATAGAACATTTTTACTTATGTAAACCTCTTGATCATACAAATATTTATGGACCCACAGTCTTGCAGATCATGTGCCGAGAGATTTTTGTGGCATCAGAGATGCAGAAGCTCTTTATATGTAACTAAACCTGCCACTTTTAAACGACATCTTAATCGTAAACCTTTCCTCTAACCATACTGTACTTTTTTCAGGGCAGCTAAATTAAATTGTCCTGTTGGGCTTTTGTTTGTTTGCTTGTTCCCATCTATCAACATCCTTTTATACAAAGAAAGGCTAAAAAGTAACTTTACATTTGTAGGCTTATTTTTAAAGACATACGAAGGCAGGTTTGACTTGCACACCCTCATGAAAGCTCTTTATTTCCCAGGTGGGGGAATTGGTACCTAAGGGTGTCTGAAAAACAGGCTTTCTTTCTATAGGGGAGAAACTTCCAGGGTACGCCATGCAAATGCTCTTGCAAATCCCGTTTCTTCCCCCTATCACTTAAGTGCAGATGGGCTGCATTGGAAGAGGGCAAGGAGTGGAATGATGTTTCCCCACAAGAGGGTTCTGCGGTGCTCTGGACACCAGATGTAATCGGTGGGAGGGTTCATTGCTGCAGGCTGTCCGTCTCACAGTGGGAGTCAAGGGCTGGGAGGCTTGCTAAACCTCTCCTGATCTATGATGGAAGTTGTGCTTCCTTCAAGGATACATCTTGTTCTTCCATACCCCACGTGTTTCTCAGCCTCAGGAGCACTTCTCGGATTTAGACTAATCTTAATATGACTTGGTAATGTTACTGCCAGCTTCCTAGCAATCAGCCCATTTTGGATGCTGTTGACTCATCTGTTCCATCTGAAAATGAGTTAATGCTCTAGTCTGATTGACTCCCGGAGGTTGGGATAGAATATTTCAGCGGGACTTTGAAAACGAAGCCCTGACCCCTAAGTATAATGACCTCACTGGACAGTAAGGGGTTCCTCTCTGTCGGGCAGGTGTCAAGTGTCTGTCCAACCAGCAAGGTTCACATAGGTTTGTACCTGATCTGAGGGTGACCAATCATCTGTTCACTGGTTCACATGGCAAAGCTTTTCACCTGAGACGATGCTAGTGAGAGACCTAGGTACCACATAATCAGTCAATCTTTTCCAATGATGGTGACATTCTACTGATTCACTGAAAATATCACCAGGGTCAATAAAGAACATAATTTTAATTTATTTTACCAATAGTGGATGGGCTGAAGTGTTTAGACCAAGTGAGTTTTTCCCATGGAAGGTATCATGAGTTTATTCTTATGGTGACAGCATAAAGTTCTTCTAGACTTTTAGAGCACTGCTTAGAAATTCGCAACTGCAGTGGAATAAATACTCCGCCAGGAGCCCTCGATATTGAGACTCCCAGGAGAAAACGCAAAGCCCTCCTGTTTGCATAGAAGTAAGCCTCGGGGTCCTCCTGTTATGATGTCTCAGTGATTTATACTGAATGTGTGCTCCCTCTGCAGCCTCTAAAGGATAAGCGTACACGTGCGTGTGCGCACACACACACACACACACACACACACACACACACACACACACACAGTGAGGGAGAGAGAGAGAGAAGTGAGTCAGGCGTTGGGGGCATGCGCCACCCCTGAGGGCTCAGTCTGTGGCCCCTAGTTTGTGCTGAAGAGCAAGCGTTGTATGGTGGACAGGTAATGACGGCCGGTGAGAAATAGCAGGATATCCAGGGAGAAGAGGCTGAGAAGAATACGTTCCCGCTGGAAGGGTTAAGAACAAGCGTCTCAGGAGAAAATGTGGGAGACTATTGAAACGGGACCAGAAAAGCAGAGGACTGCTAAGACTCCACTCGCATGGTTTCTGAACCAAACTTCTGCGCACGGCAGGCGAGCACCGGCTCCCTCCCACACGGAGAGTTCCTCCCGTGCCGGTGCAGCAGTCTGTTAGGTAAACAGAGGCTTTCTACTGGGAAAGGAACATTTCTCTATTTTGGCTATGAGTTGTTATTTTTAAAGCTTTATCCCTCCCAACATTTCCCCCTATGCTTGTTTGTTTATTTTTTTTTCACTAGAAAGAAAATGTGTGTTACTGCAGAAAAATTAACTACAGGACCAGAAAAACTCACTGTATTATTCTCTTTATGATTAAGGCCAATGCACTGTTCGGTGTGACCACTCTCTCACCCTTGTTTTGAGTAGCATAGCTTTTTTGTTTCCCTCTGCCTATGCAGACCTTTTATAAACCTGGATTTCCACAGTCTAAGCAAAGTATACCATGGCAGTTGTTGTCCCGGCACTTTGGGTAAACAGCCAGCCTCTCCCTTGACCTCTATGGGTCTGTCTATTTATCAATGTCTGTAACTAGCAGTTAAACATGGACCCTGCTGTGTGCCACACACCATGCTAAGCATTGTACATAAAACCTCTTTACCTTTATCTGAGAACATTATGACAATTGCTTCCGCACTGATGTTGGTTGAGTCTGGGGAGATTGACATGATTCGTGGGAGACTCCGTGGGCTTCTTCTGGTATCCCATGGTGCACCCGTCGGTCTTTCTCCTCGTCTGTCTTGTCTCCGTTTTGGATCTCCTCATTAACAAAGCCCTGGGGTCTTCGTCTCTGCACCTAATATAGAGCACAGCGCCTGGTATCTAAGGGGCCTTCAATAAGTCTTTTTCAGTGAATTAAATTGAAGTGGGGAAAAAAAAAGACAAAGAAAATCATGTTGTTGCAATTCTTGCTTCTGGTGTAGGTGATGTGGTTTGATTTAACAGTGTGGAGACCTAATTCTCTCATTTGGAAAATGGCAATAATATTACTAACCTTGGAGGGCAGTTGTAGGAAGTAAATAAATTTGTCAAAAATCCCTAGCATATCTCAAATCAGTGTGTAACGATTTGGGAAAACGAACTAGTTGCCTGGAACAAATAATAAGCTGAATTCCTACCTCACCTCTTACATCAAAATAAATACCAAATTATGGTCGCGCAACTCTGAGAATTTGCTAAAATCCATTGTATTGTCCACTTTAAATGGATTGTATATAAGTAATTGTACCTCAATAAAGTGTTTATAAAAAATAAAAACCAGAAGACCAAAGATGTAAACATAAGAGTATATACTAGAACTATACTGGAAAGAAACATAGTGTTCTCTATGTCATTGGAAGTGAGAATGACCTTTTCAAGCAAGACTTACTATTCTAAAGCCATAAGTGAAAAGTGTGATAAATTTGATTATGTAATAATTAAATGTTTTGCAGAAGAAAATACCAGAAACCAAATCAAAAGGAAAACTTGAAAAAACATTAGAAAAGCATTGCAAGCACATAGGACAAAGTGGTAATTACTATGATATATAAAGAGCTCTTAAGAATCAATGTGAAAGTGACTAAGAGCCAACATAAAAATATGAGAGAAAGCTTATACTAATTATTCTCCTACCATCAGCCTATTGGTACAAGCTCTTTGGAAGCAATGATTGAACTACTTACCAAAATTTAAAAATACATAAATACATATATAGCAATTCAACTTCTGGGAATTTATTCTATTAACATGTGCCCAGAGATATAAGCATAAGGGTAGTCATTGCAGGAGATGTTTGTAATGGCAAAATACTTAAAATCAAACTAAATGTCAACCAACAAAAGGTGGTTAAAGAAACTTGTAGTATTTTTAGTGAAAACTATTCAGTTGTTAGAAACAGTTGATAAAGAACTCCAGGTTATATTAATTGAAAACAAAGCAAAACAAGGTGCTAGACAATGTGTTTAGTGTTCATGTTATAAATTTGTATATATTTCACAATTTGCATATGCATAAAATATTTTAATTTCCTCATGCCCCTCTCAAACACATCATGCCCCAAATTCAGCTTGTGAACCAAAAAGATAAATGAATTCCTTTCATAGTTATCATTTCATTTAACTTGTACAACTCTATGCAAATGATACTCAGACAGTACTTTCTCCTTAAAATGTCACATGTCATGAATTACATGTCGTGTTATGAATGTTCAGTCCCTGGAGCCGAGGCTCTGTTGTGTAAGGGAAAGCCTACACTTCTTATCCTGAGGTAGGGCATTCTTCACCACCGGGCCTTGTCCTTCTTTCCCACACCAATTTATCTCCCTCCAGCACACTGCTCCACACGGCTTCACTCTCTTCCTCCTTTCCATATTTAGGACCTTCTTCCAATGAGGCTTTCATACCTCTGCTCAAAGAAATCCTACGTTCTCTTCAAGTGTCAACTCAAAGGACCCCTAATAATCAAATCCCCACTTGCCATCCTCAGCAACATCAATAGACCAGCCCACCTACAGCCAATAGTTTTCAGAGTTTTTCCTCTTCTTCCAAAGCACTTTACACTAGTCTGTTGTACTTGATTATGTTATTTCAAGGCCATGGACACATTGAAAGCAGAGGCCCTGTCTTCATTCTCGTAACTACCATAATATCTGAAATACAGCAGCAGATCGAGAAATATTTATTAGAAAAAATTCATTTACCTGAATCTGAATCATGTTACCCATGGACTGGGAAATCTGTAATTAACACAGCAGATTCGGGGATTGAACAATACACCTCTTGTAAAAAATTGAAGTGAAAATGGTTTATTGACGGAAAATCTTTTGGCCCTGCCATCTGGATTCAAATGAATGTTCGTATTTCTCCAACAGAGTGGCTACTGGTTTTTGATACAAATTTGGATCCATTAGATTTTTATGAATGTGAACCTCATCATGTCTCCTGGAAGCTTCTCGGTCCTTTAATACTCTTTTTTTCCTGTGTTTTCATAGGAACCAGGGAAAATGTGTAGAGGGCATGGTAGAGATCTTTGACATGTTGCTGGCAACATCATCTCGGTTTCGTATGATGAATCTCCAGGGAGAGGAGTTTGTGTGCCTCAAATCCATCATTTTACTTAATTCTGGTGAGTTGATAACATGGAAGAATTTAATGTTGGGTTACTGAAAGAAGTATTTATTTGTATTTTCAAACAGATATAAGTAAGCTACCTGCTAAAAAATGCATAATCAGCCCTGGCTGGTGTGGCTCAGTGGACTGAGTGCCGGCCTGTGAACCAAAAGGTCACTGGTTCGATTCCTGGTCAGGGCACAGGCCTGGGTTGTGGGCCAGGTCCCCCATTTGGGGGCACTTAAGAAGCAACCACATGCCCATGTTTCTCTCTTTCTCCCTCCCTTCCATTCTCTAAAAATAAATAAATAAAATATTTAAAAAATGCATAATCATGCATTGAAAGAAACAACAGACAGACATTGAAAATAACCTATTGCCATTGTAGACTACTTACTGAGGTAGAATCTTACTGGCCAAGTATGATGGCTGAAAAACAAAAACTGGGCATTGAATCAAAAGGCCCTTTGGTTGAAATAGATGCTAGAAATTGGGCATGTTTTTGTTAAAGTGGCTCATAGAAACAGTCATATGTCTGTTGATAGTTAACGAGTAGACCACGTGACCCTGTAAGAAATTTCGACCAATTCCAAGCTCCAGATTATATAAGGAAAGAAGCTTATTTGAGAAAGCCCATGCTTTTGGTCAAAACTGATTAGCTGACAAATATAATTGGCTCAGAGAGAGAAAATCTTGGTTCTAAAGCTGAGGAAGGTGGAATGCAATAAATTGATCCAGCTGCAAGGGAAGTTTTCATTGGTCTTTGGTGTCGAATTCAACTGTCTCCTCCTATTTATGCATTGGAGAGAGCTGAGCTGAGAGCTGCTTCTTTTTTTTTTTTTTTTTTTATTAGTGAGGTTGGCTGTTCATAGAGTCACTCCAGGTCACCTGGGTGGAAACCATGGCTCATCCTGAATTAGCACCCTGTCTCCTCCTCCCAACCCCCTCAGTATTTGGACTTGCATACTAGATCTCCAATTTGTGGGACCTGAAATTTATTTAGCAATTGGGCGTCAGGTACACTGTAAATGCCCTTAATCTAGACTTTCACCCTCCACCCCTGGCCCCACTTCATGCCTCAGACATCTTTCTCACACGGAAATCACAGCTATTTAAAGTCCTGCCCGATCTATATTTCCTTTTTTACACCATCAGGTACCATCTCAAATGTTCCTGTAGCTGAACGTGAGTTTGTACTGATCTCATGTAGAGAATCAGCATTTCTTTCTCTTTTCAGTTGTTTTGCTTCTTCCAGATGATTACCAATCTCTTCCCATGTCCTGGAACAATTTTCCACTTCTCTTCCCCACCAATGCTAGTAACCTACATCAGTCAGTGGTCATCATAGTAATCATCCTCATTTATCAACAGATAAATGGAAATCTGTATTATTACACTAGACAAGGACTGAATTATGGGACGAAGTTACATTAAAAATAATGTGATCTACACTAAGGAAGTGATTACGACTCCATTCAAGTTTCTGGTTCCACTCACATGTATTGTGCCTTTCATTTGAGTCATTTGTCCTGTACACTGAAGGGTCCAGATCCCTCCCTCAATGGCTCTTTCCTGGATGAGAGTTCTGGGAGCAATGCCACTCGGCTGCCCGACGCCAGGTCCTGAACTGGCTCCTTCGTCAGTCGAGGCCTGGCTCGTGCGGATGGCTTTCATTTGGGCAATCTGTTAACTTGGGGGAAAGCTGCGACATTTTCCCCACTTCAACCAGGAAACGGTACCCCAGACAGGAAGTGAAACTAACCAGAGTTGTATAATCAACACAAGTAGATGCTGTGAAATTGGTAACCAAAGATATTTCCTTCAGATGCATATAGCTTTTTCCTACATAATTGTTCTGTTCCTCGACTGGGCATTTTTTTTGTTTGTTTTTTATTTTTAAATTATTTTATTATTATTCAATTACAGTTGTCTGCATTTCCCCCCCAGAGCACTCCCCGCCACCCTAGCCAGATACATCTCCCTCCCTTGCTTCTACCCTCTGGGCATTTTTAAAAAAATATTACGTAAAACAAAAAGGCAAGACTTTTGCCATCAAAATATTGGATTCATTGACCCAGGTTTTGTTAAATCCCAAAGGAAAAAAACTGTCAGCCTTCACAAGAAAGTCTCTCATTAAAGACCACAGCCAGAATCTCAGAACAGGAATTTCCAGGGCAGAATTTGGGCCTTCACTGACTCCTCCTCACACTAGTTCAAGGTTCCTACTGGGTCTTCTTTCCGTTTCCCCTTTCCCAGCATCTGCTGTGAGCTTCCCGGCACTGTTTTGGAAATACAAGGCATTGAATACAGACAGAGTTGAACAGTTGTCTTTTGCAGAGACACCGGGTGGCAGCTGGTCTTTTCTATCAAGGGTGGTGCTGCTGCCTTGGGAAAAATAACAAAATAGGGGCTGTCTCTCAACCTGTCAAAAGTGAGGTCCCTTTTTCCACTCCCAAGGAGAGAAGCTCTGTTTCCGAAAAGCAGATTTGCAGCTGGGCACAGCTTCTTGTGTCGCTCTTGTTTCTGAAAAACAGAATAAAAAAGACATGACTTTGAAACTGAATAATATAGTACTAGAGCCTTTTTCAGAATGAAAAAAAAGCAGTCAGTCAGATGAGGGCTACCATCATCACCTCTCCTGATACAAATCACAAAGGGACTCTAATGCCAGGAATCTGACAGAAGCCAAGCTGGGAATGAATGGCTCAGCAAACCTGAGCTAGAAGATGCTTTTCCAGTCCCCACAAAACCAGACCTCAGTGAATGGAAGAAACTTGGGTTTTGTGTGGAGCTCCTGTCACCAAAGCTGGAGAAGGGTGTGTTTGCATCGGCCTTGACTTTGGGGCAGAGACACCATGCCAAGATTTCCATGGGAAGCCCTTTTCACAGCTCTCTGGGAGTGGGAGATACTTGTCATGCTTTCTGCCTCATGTAGAATAGTTTATTGCTTTGCTTGCAAAGGCCTAGAATCACCCATAGGGTAAATTCTGTTTGTTTTTCCACTCCCTACCAAAGGACAGAGGCGTTCCTGGTTAATCCAGAAATGCCACAGCCAAATCAATGCCAGCTTCCAGGCATTCTGAGAACTAGCCGGACAGAGCTCAAAAGTAGGGCAAAGGAGAGCAGAGCAGATGAACGCAATTCAAAAGGTGACAGAGAGGACAGGGCAGGCTCTGCGTCTGCTCATGGTGTTCTTTCTGCACCACGTGACTTCAGTTCTCCTTCATAATTCCGATATTCCTGACTCTCCCAGGTCCTGACTCTCGGATTTTATTTCACTCATGAGATCTACTGCCCAAGTCCGTGGTGAGCTTTTCTTCTCTAGACTATTGTGGTTCTTAGAGTTGGTACCACACGGTCTAGCATTTGGTCAGTTGGTTGCCTGGTTTCATTCATTTATTGAATAATTCATCACTACTGAGTTCCTGCTATAAACTTCATTCCAAATTTACAAAATTGCATGACCAAGTTTTTTTTTCCAGTTTTTTACTCTAACCTTTAGCCTGTAAACTGTCAACAAGTATTACACCATTCAGTCACTTAATAGATGCTTTTTGCTCAGCATGACCAGGAGGACCTGGCAAGTCCCCCGCTGTTCCCGTGCTGTTTCCACTGTGATCAAATAGATCATCCCGTTCATGGACTATACACCTAGCTGGTATCAGACCATCCAATGGGAAAACAATGCCCATCTCCCTGGGGTGTTGTGAGCCAATGGGAAATTATGTGTAAACTGTCTAACGTAGTTCATGGAACCTAATCAGTGACAGCTGTCCGCATCACTCCTGACAATCTCTGGCTTAGACGGAGTCACTTCATGCCTTTTTTTTTCAATATGACTAAGTGCTTTTAGTGTAGAGGCTTCCTGAAAGGCTTAGCAAATATGAGAGGATTCCAGGGGAATGCTAACAATAGAGATGTTGACTGTCCCCTACTACCCCAAGACTGTTATTGTGCATTTAATTCTATTGAGGGAAATTTTAGAGCAAGACTCATCTCGTGCATTATAATTGATTGTTATTTGAACCTTAATATTGGTTGACTTTGAGCTTCTGGCAGTTACCATGCACTCAGTCCTCTGCTTCTTCTCAATCCTTGCCCCCCCCCCACCCCGTGTGATCGCCATACACCCCACAGAATCCACTCCCATTCAGAGCAACACTCTTTTAGTGAGAGTTTGACCCGCCTTAGAAAAATTCACAAGTCAAAGCTTAATAAGTATATATCTGTGGTCTTTAATAAATGGTTTGGCCTTCAAATTGAATTGCATAGTTACTTCTACCGCTCTTCCGAACACCTTTCTGACCACAATTCTTTATGTCTCCCGCTCATTCTGAAGCGCCTCAGAGTCTTTGCTCCCGGGGAACTTGATCCAACAGGCTCCCAGGAGGGCCTGTCGGACCCCTGGCTGAGCACCTCCTTGTATCAGATCCGCTTTCCCCTCCTGACCCGCAGGTCCACCCCGGTACCCTGGAAGGCCTCTCCGCGCCTGCCAGGCCCCTGGCTTGCCTTCAGCGGGCACTTCCGCTGCTCCCGACATGCCCTGTGCTACAGAAATGCTGTGCCCCTGGTCACCTGTTCATCCCACACTGATCTGGAGACAACAGTTCTCTTTCAGTGGATGAAGTGATAAGGAGAGGTCAAGAGTGAAAAGTCACAGGGTGAGAAGTTAAAGAAAAATAGAATTATGGCAGCATCCCTAAAACATGTGCCCTGGGGTTCACTGCGAGGAAAAAGGGGTTAGGGAGGGTGAACAGGAGTGCACACATTAAACATAAACATAAGGACAGTACTGGCTGTGGCCTGTCATCTAGCTCTGCCGTGTTTCTGTGGCACGTGTTGTCACCTTGGTGCCTTGATGAAACACACGGTGCAGAAGTGGATGACATGGTCGGCTCTACCCGTGTTCACTGGAGGTCACACTCTGGTCAGATGTATAGAAAACAACTGGTCATTTGTTGTATAGAAAAATTATGGCAAGCTTTTATCCCAAAGACTATTTCCTTCTTCCAGAGC